CTGCTGAAACTCGGCCTTAACTCCAGTATTTTCCCATTTATACCTTGTGCTCTGAGAGCCTAGGGGATGCAGTAATTTTCTTTTTTTTTTTTTTTAATTCCCCTGCCACAACGTGGCATTTTTAACAGTAAAGATTTTAGAAATTATTTTGAATTCCCCCTACCAGGGCAGTAGGAGCTGATCGCCCCTCGGGCTGTTTGTATAAGGCTTCCTTCCTGAGACTTACATGAGGTTCTTGTTTCCCATGGTGGTGGAACAACAATTTTTCATGTTTTTCCACACAGTTCAAGATGGACTATTGGGAAAAGTTACATTATAATTTGGTCCATATTCATTGATATAATCATTGTACAGACCTTCAGATTGATGTTTAAACATTTCCCCTCAATAAAAAAAAATTTTTTTTTTGCAGTTTTTGGCCAGGGCTGGGTTTGAACCCTCCACCTCCAGCATATGGCACTGGTGCCCTACTCCTTTTGAGCCACAGGTGCTGCCCCTCAATAAATATTTTTGAGTGAATGAACAAATGGATGAAATCACAGAATAGTCTTTCCTATTCTATAGCTCTCATTCTTAAGATTCTAACTTCAAATCAAATTCACCTTTAGATTTTGACAAGAAAATTCTCTCTCTAGGAAAATCCTTATTTTTTTTTCTGATAAAAATGCATTTTGGGGGCAGCACCTGTAGCTCAAGGACTAGGGTGCCAACCCCATATACCAGAGGTGGCAGGTTCAAACCCAGCCCTGGCCAAAAACTGCAAAAAAAAAAAAAGTATTTTCATCAGTCTACTTATCTATTATGAATTTATAAGATCTAGTCAATAGCTCTGTTAATTTTTCTATTCTAGGCTGACTATTGCCCGAAGGAAGGGTAAAGGCAATGGAAGAAAAAGAGAAAAAGCTATTTTAATATAAAAATATTAAAGGAGCTTTTATTGTTTGTTTAACAAAATGATTTACATTGCAAAAGGATTCTCTGTGGACCCTTTAGAAATTTAAAAGTTGGGCAGTGCCTTTGGCTCAGTGAGTAGGGCGCTGGCCCCATATACCGAGGGTGGCCAGTTCAAACCCAGCCCCAGCCAAACTGCAACAAAAAATAGCTAGTCATTGTGGCTGGCACCTATAGTCCCAGCTACGCGGGAGGCTGAGGCAAGAGACTTACTTAAGTCCAAGAGCTGGAGGTTGCTGTGAGCCTTGACTCCACAGCACTCTATGGAGGGCGACAAAGTGAGACTCTGTCTCTAAAAAAAAAGGTTAGTTTTGTTAGTTTTGTTGAAAGGTTAGTTTTGTTGAAAGATTATTCTATCTAATTTATAGGTTTTAAAAACTTTTTTAATTCTCAGAGCCTGTAGCTCAGTGGTTAGGGCATTGGCCACATATACCAGGGCTGGCGGGTTTGAACTGGCCTGGGTCAGCTAAATAACAATGACAACTACAACAACAAAAAAAAAATAGCCAGGCATTGTGGCAGGCACCTGTAGTCCCAGCTGCTTGGGAGGCTGAGGCAGGAGACTCCTTAAAGGCTAAGAGCTGGAGGTTGCTGTGAGCTGTGACAACACAGCACTCTACCAAGGGCAAAGTGAGACTCTGTCTCTAAAAAAAAAGAAAGAAAGAAAGAAATTTAAAAGTTAAATACATCTTTATACATATAAGTAAGTCAGTAAAATGGAATTGGCTAGATGGAACTGATGTGGGTCTCTGCAGACCGTCCCTGTTTATTACTACGAATGTGTCTCTTCAGGGATGTGTCTGGCCAAATGGGAGAGCAGCTACAACACACGCGCCATCAACTACAACGCAGGAGACCGGAGCACCGACTACGGGATATTCCAGATCAACAGCCGCTATTGGTGCAACGATGGCAAAACCCCGAGAGCGGTCAACGCCTGTGGCATATCCTGCAATGGTAAGATAGCACAGCCACCAGGAGATGGCACGGGACCTAAGTGGTTATACCTACAAGAATACAGATTCAATGTAAATAAAAAAGGCCTTGAAGGGTTCATCAGGAACCCAGAAAAACCCCTTCTCAACTTCTAGAAGGATGCAATTATAGTTCCCTAAGTAAGAAACTAAAGAGCTGGTATCATAAAAGATTAATTTTTTTACTATATAACTGTTTCGGAAATGACCTATTAATTTATTGTAAATAGCCTTGCTGATGCTTTGTCCAGAATAATGCCATTCCTCCCCCTCACTTTAGGGAGACTTAGGGGTATGTTGGTTGTGTAGTCCTTTTTCCATTGTTTAACTGTTCATTTCATTATTTATGAAATGTTCTAAATATATAGAAAATTAGAGAGGTGAGCCATATGTCCTTCATACACTTTGGTTTTTTTAAGACAGTTTCTTTCTTTATTGTCCCAGACTAGAGTGCCATCGTGTCACAGCTCACAGCAACCTCAAACTCTTGGGCTCAAGCGATCCTCTTGTCTCAGCCTCCCTAGTAGCTGGTTCTCAGGTGCCCGCTGCAATGCTTGGCTAGTTTTTCCTATTTTAGTAGAGATGGGTCTTGCTTTTGCTCAGGCTAGTTTTGAACTCCTGAACTCAAAAAATCCACCTTCCTCAGCCTCCCAGAGTGCTGGGACTATGGATGTGAGCCACCGCTCCTGGCCCGCTTCACACACTTTTAACATTTGTTAACATTTTGCCATAGTTGCTTCTTCTACATATTTCTTTTCCTGAGAGATTTTTAAGTGGTTTAGAAACATTATGACATTTCATTTTTAAATTCTCTAGTTTGAATCTCCAAAAACTACAGTTCCTAAATAATCATTGTCACTACTAACAATTAACTTATGGATTTGCTTACTTGAGGTGAAACAAATACTTTATTGAACTCATACAAAAATAGAAATAACATGTAGAATCCTTAGCACCAAAAATATTGCATGAACATTACAAACTTGATGTTGTTAAATATTTAAATATTAAAATTTCCATTAGAAAAGATTAATCTAAGAATGTTCTTTTAAAATATCAGTTAATTTTTATAATATTTGGGTGGTGCCTGTGGCTCATTGAGTAGGGTGCCAGACCCATATGCCGAGGGTGGCGGGTTCAAACCCAGCCCCACCAAACTGCTAGAAAAAAAAGTTTTTTTATAATATTTTAGACTATATAATAATCTGTGGTCATTAAATAAAAATTATATAATGCAAATCAGAAAAAATAGTACCCATAATTGCATTACCCAGAGATTTATAAGCATTGGTAAATTTTGGTAATATATTCTTCCAGAAGGTACATCAATCATGTATATGTAAGTTAAATTGGCAGGGCATGGTGGCTCATGTCTATAATTCTACCACTCTGGGAGGCCAAGGTAGGTGGATTGCTTAAGCTCAGGAATTTGAGATCAGCCTGAGCAACAAAGAGACCCCATCTCTAAAAACAGAAAAATTAGCTAGGCCATGTGGCAGATGCCTGTAGTCCCAGCTACTGAGGAGGCTGAGGCAGGAGGATCAATTGAGCCCAAGAATTTGAGGTTGCTGTGAACTGTGATGATGCCACAGCACTCTACCCAGGGCGACAGAGTGAGACACTATATCAAAAGGAAAAAGAAAATTAAGTTATATCATGCACATAAAAATCATATAAGCAATGTATTTTATTTTACAAAATTAAATTGTATTATATGTGCTGCTTTACAATTTACTTATCACACAAAATTATTTCCATGTCAGCAGTTAAAATCTGCATTGTCATTTTCAAAGAATGGATAGAATTCTAATACATGAATATCTATAATTTATTGATCTAAGTCTTATTTTTAAGCACTTACGGTTTTCCATTGTTACTTTTTATAATTTGAGATAAACAGCTTGTTTATTTTTAGTTTTTTGGGGACAGAGTCTCTCACTGTCTCCTGGGCTGGAGTGCAGATGGCTCACTCAGCACAGTCACTTCAAACTCCCACCTGAGCTTCCTAAAGAGCCAGGATCCCAGGTGGGAGCCAGCGTCCCCAGCGGCTAGGAACAGGGTTGCACATGCATCTTTGTGACACAGGGAAGTAATTCTCAAAGCTGGGAATCACTAGGGTCCTTGGCTTCCAGTGAGAAAGAATGCAGGAATGTGAGAAATGCCTGCAGTGTAAAGCCAAAGCAAATGTTATTTAGGGAATGTGGTAAATGTCCTCCATCACTAGAGCCGAGGCCAGTTCTTCCTGCGGGGAGAACAGCCCCTGTGGGGTTTTGGATTCCTTTATTTAAGCAATGGCTTAATCATTAGCTAAGCAGAGGAAGAATATTCATATTAAGTTTTGGAAAAGGGTGAAGCTTTCTTAGAATAGGAACCTCCCATTTCCTTATTTTGTTCATAAGGTCCCTCCGGGAACCGTTCTGATATGGGCGGGAGATTGTTTAGCACACTGAGGTCTTAGAATTAAAGCATAATGAGCTGCAAGGCAAGAAGTGACCGTTTCCTTGCTACTTCAGTTCCAGCTGGTTTTCCCGTGCCTGGTCACGCATCCTGTTTTTGATCAGGGTGGTCAGGAGCTTTTTCACTCTGTTATGCAGTGCCTGCCAGTTTCCCATCTTAGTTTGACATATCTGGGTACCTTTCTTATTTCTTAGGGACAAATTTACAATAGTGGCACTGCTGAGTAAAAAAATTACAAGGTATCTTTTTTTACAGCGTCTAGTACAAAGAGGACCTTTCACCCTATTAGTTAATAATTCCAAAGCTCCTAATGAGTTTGGCAAATGAGAAAACAGAGTGTTTTATTTCATGCGCAATGGGGCAGAATAAAGAGAAAGTTTCCCCCGACAATCACAGATACATGGACTCTTGGAAAACAATTTCTTAGTATTCTCTCCTCAGCTTAACAGAACAAGGTTGGCCAAAACTAAACTTAACATGCAATTTCTAGGAAACTTGTTTTCATTCCTTCCCATCTTTTTTCAGCTTTGCTACAAGATGACATCACTCAGGCGGTAGCCTGTGCTAAGAGAGTTGTCAGGGACCCACAAGGCATCAGAGCATGGTATGTTCTAAGTGTTCAATGGGAAAATGACTCTATTGTTGATAGGGGCTATGGCAGAAGACTTTCAAAGACAAACATGCTACTGAGAGCTGAAAATTGCATCTTTTGGTTTATGCTAAATCAGCAGTTCTCAGCCTGTGGGTCACGACCCCTTTGTGATGGTAATGGTAAATACATTAACCATTAGGAAGATTGAGAACCACTGTGCTAAATCCTTGAAGAAACAGCTACCTTAACTGATCCAGAATGTTACTCTTTTATTACCCCTCAATTTATTTAAGAGATTTCTAGAGCTTGTATGATTCTTCACACTCTATCCATTCCTTGTTGTATCCTGAAGCTATGTGAAGAGTAAGCAAATATTGAGTGCCCTTTGCAGGTGCTACTGAGGGGAGCATGCTACTTAATCTTACATGCAGCACTCTGTGCTCTGCTGAGTGTGCCGAGGAGGGGCTACTATTTTAGGTACATACTTTCATTTAAGAAATGGCCACACCTGGGTCTATCACTAGCCTGTTTTTTTATCTATTGATAAAAGATAGAAGAAGAGTTTGTTTCCCCAAGGGTTTAGAGTATGTGTATTGCAATGTGGATTTATAATGACCTTTTCACTGTTTGTTTTACCTTTCTTTCCAGGGTGGCATGGAGGAATCATTGTCAGAACCAAGATCTCTCCCAGTATACTCGGGGTTGTGGAGTATAAGCACAGAATTTTCTTTCTTCAGCTCATTTTGTCTCCTCATATTAAGGGAATCTTAGTTAAGTAAAAGGTCACACTCCCATTGTTTCCCCTTTTTACAGAAGCAGAAGAAAAATATGTTTTTCCTTCTAAGAGGCTTAACATTCACTGGTGTGGTCATTATTTAATGTTAAGCCTACAACATTTTTCAGTTTACAAATAGAACTAATGCTGGCAAAAATTTTGTCTAAAACCATGGTCATCAAATCCAGGTCCAATACCTTCATTTATGACCAAAGAAGTAATGTAGTTCTTGAATGATACAGTACTTCCCAATTCATAAAGTGAATCTCCTCCTAACCTGCTACTCTTATATGTTATTAACTTGAGGATTCTTCATGCATTATGGGTAAATCTGAGGCAGATGAGTTTGCACCTGTTGAAATGATTACTAATTAACCTCAGGTGTGACATCATGCATGCTGTAAGAAATATAAACATTATCATTAAAGGCTTTGCAATGTATACTTTGTCTTTTTTTTTAGCCCCATCTAGCGTCTCTGAAGAAAAACTATATATATTTCAAAACAATGATTTGGCTCTCTTACTCTGCCTATATCCTCCCCCAGCTGAATATTGTTGGAGATCAATCTACAGGCACGCTGACAGATCTCACTTTAACTTCATAACCATAAATATCAAATGGGCCCTCGGGAGGCCTGGCCATCTCAGTCACTTCTCTGCATTCCTTCTGTGTTGGTGTCCCTGATCTCCAAAATCACTGTTTTACTCTTCTCTCCTCAACCCCCCCCCACACATCCCACCCTTCCCTGTGCCCCCTCATTCTCCACCATTCTCTGCTCTCAGCAGATAACCTGGCCTCATATTTCATGGAGGAAACATAAGTAACTTTACACAAAGTGCTTCCTTCCTAGTCACCAATCAGCTCTCACACCTTCCCCTTATTTCCGGGATGAAGGGCCTGTGCTTGAGCCCATGGCAGAGTCTCCATGCAGGCTCTAGCCCATCCCAGTCTTCTCCAACTTAGGCTGAGTGTTTCCTGCATCCTAATCTCCCTCTTTGCTGGGTCCCCTTTGTCATCCTACAGAGTAACCTCCTTCCTTATAAAGAATCCTCCCCTGTAGTTCTGTAGGGGCTAGAATAGCATCTCCCACTTGATTCAAACTGGCCAATGAGAAGGGGACCTGTGGGGTGGCACTTTTTGACTATTCATAAAAAGGAAAAGACCAACCCAGTCGGGGAGCCGTATACTCCCAGCTGGTGAATAAAGCCCTTCCTCTTACTCAAAAAAAAAAAAAAAAAGAAGAAGAAGAAGAAGAGGAAGACTCCATTGACCCTACAGAACCCTCCAACCATGGCTTCACTCTCTGCTCCCTTTACAAGAAGACTTCCGGGAAAAGATGTTGCTCTCACCAACTCCACGTCTTCAGCTCCCATTCTCTTTTCAACTCTCTGTAACTAAAATTGCTCTCCCAGGATTTCTCCTATGATTCCTTACCGCCAATTCCAGGAACCATCTCCATTCATTTCAGCAACATTCACAAAGCAAACCACTTCCTATTTCCAACCACCTTTCCTCCCTGGCCTTCTCCTCATTTACATCCTCACTGCTCCTCAGTCCTTCTTTTTTTGTTCTTGGAGACAGAGTCTCACTTTGTCACCCTCGGTAGAGTGCTGTGGCATCATATCTCACAGCAACCTCAAACTCTCAGGCTCACATGACCCTCTTGACTCACCCTCCCCAATAGCTGGGAGTACAGGGGCCCGCCACAATGCCCGGCTATTTTTTTTTTTTTTAAGAGATGAGGTCTTGCTCTAGCTCAGGCAGACCACCCACCTGGGCCTCTCAGAGTGCTGGGACTACAGGCATGAGCCGCTGTGCCCGGCTCCTCGGTCCTTCTTGCTGAGGGTCTTTCTGTTCTATCTAACTGTGGGAGCATCTCAGGGCTCAGCCTATAACCACATGATATGCACCTTGTCTTCTCTGCCTCTTCTCGCTAAAATAGACCTTCCAAAAAGACAGTTTCTTTCCACTTTTTAAAAACATTGAGCTAATTTCAATCTTTTAAAAAATTGGCAAACAGTACAAATGCCTTCTTTTTTCTTCTGAACTGTTTGAGAGTACCATAGTCCTGAATATTTCAGTGTGTAATCCTACAAAAAAAATTTCCCTTTTGATGATTGACTTAAATTTCCTATATCTTTATTCTGTCCTTTTGTAAAATGGAAATAATTACTTGTTAATTAAGCATAAATTATGTAAATGAAAAAATTTTTTCCTACATAACCTCAAAATAACTATCCAGGCTTTGTGCCTGTAGGTCAAGTGGCACCAGCCATTGACACCCGAGCTAGTGGGTTAAAATCCAGCCTGCGACCTGCCAAACAACAGTGACAACCACAACCAAAAAATAGGCGGGCGTTGTGGTAGGTGCCTGTAGTCTCAGCTACTTGGGAGGCTGAGATAAGAGAACTGCTTAAGCCCAAGAGTTGGAGGTTGCTGTGACCTGTGACACCATGGCACTCTACCCGGGGCCATAGCTTGAGTCTCTGTCTCAAAAAAAAAAAAAGGGGGGGGGCAGAGCCAAGATGGCGAACTGCAGCCGGCTTTTTATAGAAGCTCCTGTCCAGAAGGAGGCTGAAAGGACAGAACCTTAGCAAATTAGCTGATGGTTTGGAGCAGAGACAAGAGAGAAGATTGAAGAGTGCACTACAACCTTCCTGAGGCAAGCTGCGACCCCGAAATTACAACCAAGCAGACGGGAGTCCCCTCCCCCACAACAAGGGCTCGCGCAGTTTACTCCATGCAAACAAGCGAGCAGAGTTCAAACTGCCTCCCACTCTATTCCATGGGAGAGACCCCCTAAAAACTGGACCTCCT